CAGGCTGGATCTGTCGGCCGGGTCCTGCCAACGCTGCGCAGGTGCGCCGTGTGGGGAAGTGTGGCGCGCGCGGGGCGGTATAGGCATCCGACTGAAATGATCAAAGATTTGCTTTGGAGTTCCGGCGCGCTGGCCGCCCTGTGGCTGCCAGGTGTAAGTAGTTTGTTCGTGTTTCAAAATGAAACCCGATTCATCTGCTCTCATACAAATGAATGGAGTACTTCAATTGCCAGAAGAATTTTATACTCTTGTTCGTATTTTGAACTGCGCCAAAACTTAGCTCAGAGGATTGAGGCCCGTGCCGCCCGTGTGTATCCCATTGTGTGTTTAGTCTGGCCCTGACTCAGCACGGACCTTCACGGAAGGCGACGGCCCATCCAGCCTGCTCTGTTGCGTCCTGAAGCGAAATCTCGTCCGCGATCGCGTACGCCATGTCGTCGTATTTTCTTGACTTAGAGTTTTATGAGTATCTGGAAAAGCGTTATCCGCGGCATCCACTCTTCACGACCTACCGTTTCGAGTTCGTGCCCCCGGCGTCGGTAAGTGCTTTCGTGTGCGCTTCGTCTTGAGTTGAAACATCTACTATTAGAATCGCGTCATGTCACACTTCCGGTGGTTGTAGATGTAAATAGCAGAAAATTTTGCCGTCCATAAAAGCGAGAGTTATTTGCCGAGGCGCGTTCGGTGCGAAGGTGAGGTGTACGCAAGGCACGTGATGGGATTCTCGGCGTAGTGTTTGCCTTTATTTGAAAGTTCCTGCATAAAGCAAACTTCTTCCGAAGTTGCTAATAGGATCAAGGGTGTACTTCTCCATATAGCAGACTTACCCCCTCCCCCTAGATTCCCCCCACCCCGCCGCCACTCCATCGCGTCCTGCCGCGGCGTACATCCCCGAGCCACGCGTAGTCGCCTCCGCATCCAGCATGGATAAAATCACTTTTGAAGAGTTTTGTGCGGAGCTGGGCTTGATTTTTGTGAGTAAAGATGATCTTCGTGTAGGCTTCGTATTTCTTCACACGCTGCTCTTAATTGCATAGCAGTGATCGAAGGGGCAGAGTGCAGCCTGCCGACCACCGCTGCCTCGCCGCTTCGGCTTCGCGTTTCCGGTCGCTCCGTGGTGCAGTTAGCAGCTGGGCAAGGGTCCCGCGGTTTTTGTTTCGTTAGGTTTGCATTAGTAACAGTAGTCGTTCAAAGAAACTGTTTGGCTGTAATTTGACTCCATTCAATGATCGAATTTATTTGCTGTTTGCGCCGCGTGTTGTTTGGCCCGGTCCGGCGGCCTGAGGAGCGTGGGACACATCGTCCTCGCTTCTTCGCATTTCCCCTCGCTTCTTCGCATTTCCGGTCGCCCCGTCGTGCAGTTAGCAGCTAGCCAGGGTCCCGCGGCCTTGTCCGTTTCGTTAGGCTTACATTAGCAACAGTGGTCGTGCAAAGAAACTCGATAGTTGCTTGGCTGTGATTTGCCTCCTTCAATGATCAAATCTGTATGCCTTTTGCGTCGCGCGTTCGTTCCTTTCTCTCTTTGCCCGGTCTCCTAATAGGAGTAATTCAAGTTGCATAGGTGTTGAATTTATCCCGTCTGCAAAAAAAAAAAACATTCATTACGTAGTTGCGATACGCATCTGCCGGCGATGTGCTCTGGAGTGCCGCGTTCTGCTCGTTATTCAAACTGTTTCTCTTAAGCGTTGTCCGCCTTTCAAATATCCGAAACACTTTGAGTAACGAATGCGGCGAGTTTTCGCGACTGTTTTCTGATAGGCATTTGTTCCATTTGTCCCACAGGACAGCTCAGAGCCCCAGACCGTGCCGAAGATGCTGGACGCTACTATGGACGACTCGCTGGCGTCCAAGGACGGCACAACATCAACAGACAGCGGCGTTCCGCCTGAACTGGTGGTGATGGACACGTCGGACACGGGGGATCTCAAGGTACTGTAAAAAAAAGACAAGATGCCCGCGTGTACGGTTAGGTTGGCATGCATTTGTAAAAGTACTGGTGCAAAGGTATTTGATGGTTGCTTGGCGGCATGCAAATAAGATTGAGTTGAAACCGATATAACTAAAAGTAAGTTTCTCGGCGAGAGAAAATGTAATCTGCTTTTATAGCGAGCAATACTGCTACTATTTGCCTCCATTCAATTATCAATTTCATTTGCATTCTGCATGGCGCGTTGCTTTGCTGCTCTCCTCGCCCTGCCATCTCGAACGTGCGAAACTTTGGTCCCTTATTTGAAATTTTTATTACAAATTGTAACGTTAACTTCATTTAGTAAGTAAAATGGCATTCCCTCCCGACGCTCTTTTGTCGGTTTTGGTGTGGAGGGGGAAGCCAGCGGGAGATGCCCGCTTGGTCTGGCCGACAGCGGCCGCCATTCGTGCAGTAGCGTCTGAAGCGAAAGGTTGTTTCGTGAAGCCCAAGAAATGCCGAAGATTAAGAAGACTGTGGCGCGTGCCGCGAGTGACACTGTGAGTGTTGGGTTTTAGATTCTTTTCTAATGCTGAGCTGTAATGTGACCTTTTTCGTATGGGCATCGATGGCCACGCGCAATGCTTTTCCGTTTTACTTGGCTGTGATTTTTCCTTCTGAGATCTGAACGGCTCTCCGTTTGTTTCCTTCGCAAATGCATTGTTTTGAAGCGCTTGCCCTCAGTGGGCCAGAAGACCGGCGGAAGCGGCCGAAATTCTAGACGCGTTTTGAGCTCGAGTCACTAAACAGGACCCTAACCTAGCGTGTGAACCCTACAATGGACTCCTCGTTCGAAGAGCAATCAATTGGTGGGATCACACGATCGGTTTGAGTCCTTTCTGGTGGCTCTTGAGGTCAAAATCAGTCCGGAATTCGTGCCGCCTCCGCCGGCCTTCTGGCCTACCGCGTTGCGTTGTTACCTAGCGGCGTAAGATTACCTTTTCGTTCCACGCCAGATTGCCACTTTCCGGGCATTGCGCTAGCTTTTCAGTGTATGTACCATTGCACACATGACGGCTTGCTGAGGGCGTGTCAGGTGTTCGCTGTTCCAATTCGAGTGTTTGTAATTTGGGCCGCTCTTAACTGTAAATGAAATGCGCGTCCTGTTTTTACATTCTCTTATTTGGCATTTAGAACAAATGCAAAGATTCCCTGTTTGTAAAAATAAAATGCTGTTTACAGTGCAGTCTTTTCGTAACATAATTGTATGTGATAAAAAGTAACATAAATGCCTTTTACAGTGTAAGCTCTTTGTGACAGCCTTTTAACCTTGACAGTGTACACTGTTATTTGCGAATGTGCGCGGGCCATGTGTAATTTGAATATTCCTCCAGATAGAATGGTTGTTAGGTTGGGTTATCCTAACCTGGGGCGTGAAACAGGCCGCCCGCTGGCTGGTTTTTGGCCTCAGTGGTACCCGACCGCCTATTTTCGGTTCCCTTCTATTAACAGAGAATGCTAACTGCACTTGGTTCTAATGTCATACTCTGTAAATAAAATGCTAGAGATGAATATTCATTTAGTATTTTACATGCATCTCGAAATGAATGCGCAGGTACTTCTTTCTCCACGCAGTAAAATGAGTTTTCTTCTTTAAACGTCTTTTGCCGCATTTGAGGCTTGCCGAAGCTTATAGCGTTAGGCAAATTGGTGTGCCCCTATTTACAGAGAATCCTAACTGCACTTGGTACGAATTTCATACCCTGCAAATAAAATTTTAGAAATGAATATTCATTTTGTACTTTTACAGGCATTTCCAAATGAATGCGCGCGTGGTTTTTTACTTCTTGCAGTAAAAAGATTTGTTCTTTTTACATTTTATTTAACGTGTCCAAGTGCAGTTTGCAATCCTCAATTAGAACATTTGTAACTAACAATGTTTGGTGGTCCGTCATTCGGAATGTTTCATGTAATATGGGGTTTTTACGAAATTCGTCCCGTTTGTACTCCAATTCTAGTTGCCTTTCGTCGTTGCCATTCTTCTTCTTCTATTTGTCATATTTGGTTCCATTTGAACAATTGTTTATAACAATGGAATGGCAGTTTGTCGTTTGGATTCTGATAGTCAAGTCAATTTTTGCATTTTTACCAAATCGATTTCGTTTTTAAAATTTTCCAAGTTGCACCGGGGTGTTGCTAAAATAGTTGTTCCTATTTGTCATATTTGGTTCAATTTGAACATTTGTTATTAACAATTTATCGAGGATACTCCGTTATGTGCATGCACTGGGGGTTCCTGGCCGGGGCACGGCCGCGGAGCGGCCGCGCAAAATCAGTGTACTGTAAATAGGCATTTTCAATTTGAATTTTTTTGGGGAGTCGGGTAGGCGCCTCCGACCGCGCCCGGAAGGGAGTTTTTTTTCAGGGGCTTGGGTTTTTTTTAAAAAAAATTTAAAATTTGTTTGGCCTTGTGGCTTTCCCCAAGGACCCCAAAGAAGGGGGGGCCGGGGAGAATCTTTTAAGAGGGTAATTAAAGGAAACCCATTTTTTTTCCCGGGGGGAACCAAGTTTTAAAGGAAAAATTTTTAAAAGGGCACCCGGGAAAGGGTGGGGGAAGGACACAAACCCCCCCAACCGAACGGCCGAGGGAAAAATTTGAAAATTTGGGAATTTAAAAATGTTTTTTTTACAAAAAGGGGCCCTTTATTTTTTAAGAAACCTGGCAAAAAGGAAAAATTTTTTCCCCAAGGAACCTGCGAGCAAGGCATGGGGTAAAAGGGGGGCCCAAGAGACGGGGAACCCCAAGGGAAAAGGCGGGCCCGGGGAAAGCTGTGAAAAAGGTAATTTAAATTTTTTTTTTTGGGGAAATTTTCTCATAAAAAAGAATTTTAACCGAATAATTTTTTTTAAGTTGGGAGGGGGGGGAAGGCGGGGAGAGGAGGGCAAGGCCAGCTTCCCCCCCCAAGGAAGGGGGGGGGTAAAGTCCCCGGGGTTCCCCAAACCCCCCTTTTTTTGGGTTATTAAGGGGGGTGTTCCCGTGTTCCGTTTTCCCCCCGCCTTCCCCGGGGGAAAAAGGGGGAATCTAAAAAGGAAATCACCCGGACAAAATTCCCCTTTTAAAGAAATTGGCAGACCCGAGACTTTCTGGCCCAAGGCCTTTGGCGCGACCAAGGCCTGCTCTAGAAGTCTCTTGGCCTCTCCCAAATTTTCTCACGGCCGACTTGTCCTGGTCGCTCGCAGCTACCTTCGGAGATTCTTCCTCCCCCGCTCCCGGGGACGCTGCTGGGGTGGAAGACTGGAAACGGAAGCACTCTTATTAGTAAAAAGAATGGACATTTTGCCCAAATTATCCTATTTGCAGGTGACGATTTACCTTGCTCTGGCCGCCCTTCGGAATTGGAGGGGAAGTAGTCTCAGTGTCCTTGCTCCTCCTACTCTTCTTTGCCTCCGGCACCTGCCCAACGTTAAAACAAATTATTACGGTTAGTAAATCTGGTTGCTAAGTGAGAAAAATGCAAAATGTATCAAACTTTCATATTACCGTCTTCACAGACTGATCCCCCGGGCCCCGCCCTTTCTCTTGGGTCCGTCTCTTGGGCGCCTTTACGATGACCTGCTCGACAGGTTCCTGAAACAAATATTTTACCAATTTTTGCAGGTTGTTTAAAAAGAATAAAGGGCTTATGCTAATTGCACATCAAAACTACGCAAATGCAAACTCACCTCGTCCGATTCGTCGTCGTCGTCGTCGCTCTCCCCGCCACCAACGGTTTCGGGTGCCCTTTGGCTGAAGAATACTCCTCCATCTTGTCCCAGCGGAAGACTGGGGTCCGTTGGAGACTCCAGCGTGCTGCTGAACAGTTTCTCCGGCGGTCCTTCGTTTCCGGAGTCCTGGGAAAGAACACAAGCAAACACTGTAATTTTTTTATTAACCCAAGCCCTGAGAAACTCGCTTCCGGACGCGGTCGGAGGCGCCTCCCCGACTCCCCAAAAAAAATTCAAATTGAAAATGCCTATTTACAGTACACTGATTTTGCGCGGCCGCTCCGCGGCCGTGCCCCGGCCAGGAACCCCCAGTGCATGCACATAACGGAGTATCCTCGATAAATTGTTAATAACAAATGTTCAAATTAAACCCAAAAAATATGACAAATAGGAACAACTATTTTAGCAACCCCCCGGTGCAATTTGGGAAAAATTTTTAAAAACGAAATCGTTTTGGTAAAAATGCAAAAATTGACTTGACTATCAGAATCCAAACGACAAACTGCCATTCCATTGTTATAAAAAATTTGTTCAAATGGAACCAAATATGACAAAAAAGAAGAAGAAGAATGGCAACGACGAAAGGCAACTAGAATTGGAGTACAAACGGGACGAATTTCGTAAAAACCCCATATTACATGAAACATTCCGAATGACGGACCACCAAACATTGTTAGTTACAAATGTTCTAATTGAGGATTGCAAACTGCACTTGGACACGTTAAATAAAATGTAAAAAGAACAAATCTTTTACTGCAAGAAGTAAAAAACCACGCGCGCATTCATTTGGAAATGCCTGTAAAAGTACAAAATGAATATTCATTTCTAAAATTTTATTTGCAGGGTATGAAATTCGTACCAAGTGCAGTTAGGATTCTCTGTAAATAGGGGCACACCAATTTGCCTAACGCTATAAGCTTCGGCAAGCCTCAAATGCGGCAAAAGACTTTTAAAAGAAGAAAAACTCATTTTACTGCGTGGAGAAAGAAGTACCTGCGCATTCATTTCGAGATGCATGTAAAATACTAAATGAATATTCATCTCTAGCATTTTATTTACAGAGTATGACATTAGAACCAAGTGCAGTTAGCATTCTCTGTTAATAGAAGGGAACCAAAAATAGGCGGTCGGGTACCACTGGGGCCCAAAAAACCAGCCGCGGGGGGCCTGTTTCACGCCCCAGGTTAGGATAACCCAACCTAACAACCATTCTATCTGGAGGAATATTAAAATTACACAGGGCCCCGCGCACATTCGCAAATAACAGTGTACACTGTCAAGGTTAAAAGGCTGTCACAAAGAGCTTACACTGTAAAAGGCATTTATGTTATTTTTTATCACATACAATTATGTTACGAAAAGACTGCACTGTAAACAGCATTTTATTTTACAAACAGGGAATCTTTGCATTTGTTCTAAATGCCAAATAAGAGAATGTAAAAACAGGACGCGCATTTCATTTACAGTTAAGAGCGGCCCAAATTAAAAAACACTCGAATTGGAACAGCGAACACCTGACACGCCCTCAGCAAGCCGTCATGTGTGCAATGGTACATACACTGAAAAGCTAGCGCAATGCCGGAAAGTGGCAATCTGGCGTGGAACGAAAAGGTAATCTTACGCCGCTAGGTAACAACGCAACGCGGTAGGCCAGAAGGCCGGCGGAGGCGGCACGAATTCCGGACTGATTTTGACCTCAAGAGCCACCAGAAAGGACTCAAACCGATCGTGTGATCCCACCAATTGATTGCTCTTCGAACGAGGAGTCCATTGTAGGGTTCACACGCTAGGTTAGGGTCCTGTTTAGTGACTCGAGCTCAAAACGCGTCTAGAATTTCGGCCGCTTCCGCCGGTCTTCTGGCCCACTGAGGGCAAGCGCTTCAAAACAATGCATTTGCGAAGGAAACAAACGGAGAGCCGTTCAGATCTCAGAAGGAAAAATCACAGCCAAGTAAAAGGGGAAAAGCATTGCGCGTGGCCATCGATGCCCATACGAAAAAGGTCACATTACAGCTCAGCATTAGAAAAGAATCTAAAACCCAACACTCACAGTGTCACTCGCGGCACGCGCCACAGTTTCTTAATCTTCGGCATTTCTTGGGCTTCACGAAACAACCTTTCGCTTCAGACGCTACTGCACGAATGGCGGCCGCTGTCGGCCAGACCAAGCGGGCATCTCCCGCTGGTTTCCCCCCTCCACACCAAAACCGACAAAAGAGCGTGGGGAGGGAATGCCATTTTACTTACTAAATGAAGTTAACGTTACAAGTAAAAAAAAATTTCAAATAAGGGACCAAAGTTTCGCACGTTCGAGATGGCAGGGCGAGGAGAGCAAAAGCAACGCGCCATGCAGAATGCAAATGAAATTGATAATTGAATGGAGGCAAATAGTAGCAGTATTGCTCGCTATAAAAGCAGATTACATTTTCTCTCGCCGAGAAACTTACTTTTAGTTATATCGGTTTCAACTCAATCTTATTTGCATGCCGCCAAGCAACCATCAAATACCTTTGCACCAGTACTTTTACAAATGCATGCCAACCTAACCGTACACGCGGGCATCTTGTTTTTTTTTTACAGTACCTTGAGATCCCCCGTGTCCGACGTGTCCATCACCACCAGTTCAGGCGGAACGCCGCTGTCTGTTGATGTTGTGCCGTCCTTGGACGCCAGCGAGTCGTCCATAGTAGCGTCCAGCATCTTCGGCACGGTCTGGGGCTCTGAGCTGTCCTGTGGGACAAATGGAACAAATGCCTATCAGAAAACAGTCGCGAAAACTCGCCGCATTCGTTACTCAAAGTGTTTCGGATATTTGAAAGGCGGACAACGCTTAAGAGAAACAGTTTGAATAACGAGCAGAACGCGGCACTCCAGAGCACATCGCCGGCAGATGCGTATCGCAACTACGTAATGAATTTTTTTTTTTTTTTGCAGACGGGATAAATTCAACACCTATGCAACTTGAATTACTCCTATTAGGAGACCGGGCAAAGAGAGAAAGGAACGAACGCGCGACGCAAAAGGCATACAGTTTTGATCATTGAAGGAGGCAAATCACAGCCAAGCAACTATCGAGTTTCTTTGCACGACCACTGTTGCAAATGTAAGCCTAACGAAACGGACAAGGCCGCGGGACCCTGGCTAGCTGCTAACTGCACGACGGGGCGACCGGAAATGCGAAGAAGCGAGGGGAAATGCGAAGAAGCGAGGACGATGTGTCCCACGCTCCTCAGGCCGCCGGCCCGGGGCCAAACCAACACGCGGCGCAAACAGCAAATAAATTCGATCATTGAATGGAGTCAAATTACAGCCAAACAGTTTCTTTGAACGACTACTGTTACTAATGCAAACCTAACGAAAAAAAAACCGCGGGACCCTTGCCCAGCTGCTAACTGCACCACGGAGCGACCGGAAACGCGAAGCCGAAGCGGCGAGGCAGCGGTGGTCGGCAGGCTGCACTCTGCCCCCTTTGATCACTGCTATGCAATTAAGAGCAGCGTGTGAAGAAATACGAAGCCTACACGAAGACCATCTTTACTCACAAAAAACAAGCCCAGCTCCGCACAAAACTCTTCAAAAGTGATTTTTTCCATGCTGGATGCGGAGGCGACTACGCGTGGCTCGGGGATGTACGCCGCGGCAGGACGCGATGGAGTGGCGGCGGGGGGGGGGAATCTAGGGGGGGGGGGTAAGTCTGCTATATGGAGAAGTACACCCTTGATCCTATTAGCAACTTCGGAAGAAGTTTGCTTTATGCAGGAACTTTCAAATAAAGGCAAACACTACGCCGAGAATCCCATCACGTGCCTTGCGTACACCTCACCTTCGCACCGAACGCGCCTCGGCAAATAACTCTCGCTTTTATGGACGGCAAAATTTTCTGCTATTTACATCTACAACCACCGGAAGTGTGACATGACGCGATTCTAATAGTAGATGTTTCAACTCAAGACGAAGCGCACACGAAAGCACTTACCGACGCCGGGGGCACGAACTCGAAACGGTAGGTCGTGAAGAGTGGATGCCGCGGATAACGCTTTTCCAGATACTCATAAAACTCTAAGTCAAGAAAATACGACGACATGGCGTACGCGGTCGCGGACGAGATTTCGCTTCAGGACGCAACAGAGCAGGCTGGATGGGCCGTCGCCTTCCGTGAAGGTCCGTGCTGAGTCAGGGCCAGACTAAACACACAATGGGATACACACGGGCGGCACGGGCCTCAATCCTCTGAGCTAAGTTTTGGCGCAGTTCAAAATACGAACAAGAGTATAAAATTCTTCGGGCAATTGAAGTACTCCATTCATTTGTATGAGAGCAGATGAATCGGGTTTCATTTTGAAACACGAACAAACTACTTACACCTGGCAGCCCCAGGGCGGCCAGCGCGCCGGAACTCCAAAGCAAATCTTTGATCATTTCAGTCGGATGCCTATACCGCCCCCCGCGCGCCACACTTCCCCACACGGCGCACCCGCGCAGCGTTGGCAGGACCCGGCCGACAGATCCAGCCTGATCAAAAACCCGAACGAAAAAAGAAATTTCCCATTTACAGCAATCTTTTCTTGCGCGGGCGCACGAATTTCGTAAAAAACGCATTCAATTTGCGTTAAGTATTCCCCGAAAAGCTCTTAACGAGAGATTCGGTCAGCACACCCGCAGACGCGGTGGGCAGGCTAGCGGGCACCCTGAGAAACTCGCTTCCGGACGCGGTCGGAGGCGCCTAATCGACTACCTAAATGAATTCTAAATGGAAAAGCCTATTTACAGTAAGCTAATTTTGCGCGGCCGCTTCGCGGCCGTGCCCCGGCCGGGCACCCCCAGCGCCTGCACATAGCGGAGTATCCTCGATAAATTTTTAATAACAAATGTTCAAATTGAACCAAATATGACAAATAGGAACAACTATTTTAGCAACACCCCGGTGCAACTTGGAAAATTTTTCAAGCGAAATCAATTTTGGGGAAAATGCAAAAATTGACTTACTATCGGAACAGAACGAAGAACTGCCCTTTCATTGTTATAAACAATTGTTCAAATTGAACACATTCGTACAGTAGGACAAATTGCATTTGGACACGTTCAATAAAAAGCAAAATGAACAAAACTGCTTTCACTGCAAGTAGTAAAAAACACGCGCGCATTCATTAAGGAATGCCTGTAAAATACTAGATGAATATTCATTTCTAAAATTTTATTTGCAGGGTATGAGATTCGAACGAAGTGCAGTTAGCATTCTCTGTTAATAGGGGCACACTCATTTACCTCACGCTATGGAGCTGCAGCCGGCCGCGACTGCGGCGAAAGACGCTAAAAGAAGAGAACCCCCTTTACTGCGTAGAGATAGAGGTACGCGCGCATTCGTTTCGAGACGCATGAAAAATACTAAATGAATATTCATCCCTAGCATTTTATTTACAAAGTATGAAGTTTGAACCAAGTGCAGTTTGCATTCTCTGTTAATAGAAGGGAACCGAAAATAGGCGGTCGGGTACCACTGAGGCCAAAAGCCAGCCAGCGGGCGGCCTGTTTCACGCCCCAGGTTAGGATAACCCGATCTAATCGGCATGCTACTTGCAGGTAAACTTCAAATCGCAAACGGGCCAGGCACTCTCCCAAATAACTGTGTACATTGTTCATTGCGATAGCAGAAAAACAACGAACCTCCACTGTAAGTAGGATTGCGCCCTTCGCGACCTAGTATTACGTTGAAATAGAATAAAGCTTACAAAATTTGCTATCTGATTGTTTTACTATAAAAGCTTTTGCAGATAGCAACAAACGTAAATTATAACGGTCAGATACCAGAGAGGCGAAAAAGTAGCCACCCAGCGGCCAGCCCAGAGCTAGAAGTTAGAGTAACCCGATCTAATCGGCATGCTACTTGCAGGTAAACTTTAAATCGCAAACGGGCCAGGCACCCCCCAAATAACTGTGTACATTGTTCATTGCGCAAGAACAAGGACAAATACGGTTCAATATGGTTCAAATTTCAAACACCCTTTTTGGAACAATGAACCTCCACCGAAGATAGTAATTTCAAGGACAGAACCTAACCCAACAAAATTAAATTATAATTGTTTCACGAACTACGAGTGTTCGCTTACGGCAATAATTTTGTTTTAGGTTATGTTAGATCAATTTGTTAATGAAACGTGCATCTTACCGGTACCAAGACCTCTTCCCAGGTGATGTCTTCAGCAAAGTGGGCGTCATCTAAACGGTCTGGTGGCCATTTGACGGATGGAGCTCGGGGCATGAGGGACATTCTGCAAACAAATCAATTCATTATGAGTTAAAGTTAATTGCTGGCGTTTCCTTGGCACGGTGAGACTTGCCTCGTGGAATCAATGAGTGACTCGTTTCAATAAGAATAAGATACGAATAAAATGCGAAGGATTTACAATGTATTTGCTCTTCCAATGCCAAACGGGATCAGTGCACCAAAAAGGCGCACTTAAATAGGAATGCAATCTCATAAAGCGTGAACGGTACAATGCATATAACAATTAAATTTTGGGTTTGGTTATGAATTTGAAACCTATTTGAACGTTTACGGCTTACCTTGAGACGTTTTCTTGGAAACTGATAACTTGAACACAAGGGCTTGATCAGTCTTGAAGCTACACGCGTGGTGACGTTCTGCACAAAATACATTTAAAGACTCAAATTGCGACTCCGACTGAAAGATCCAACCACGCGGCGATTTGGTAGGTTACGGGCGGCAGAAAAAACGAGGGAGGAACAGAAGTAAAAAGAAGCGGAACGCGAGGGCGGTGACTTGGCACACGGATTGACGCAAGGCCCTGACTGTGGTCACTTCCGGAAGCTGCCGGCCTGCCGACACAACACGTGGAGCGCACCGCTCAACGTGCTTGCTAAATGGATAACGAGGTAAGGATAAGAAATCTCGATTTGATGTAAAGAAAGCGAAAATTTAGACCACTGACCGTCGTTTAATTGCCCAGGCTGGTGTTTTGTGCGTTATAAGTTCCGATGAAGCAGAGTTTTTTGAATCGAACAAGGTAAGCACTCGGAAACCTTAAGAGTGTCGAACAGATATATATATATCATGTTAATAGAAACATGTTCGGTTTCAGGCAGATGAAGAGATTGCGAGTTCAGCTACACAATTAAGTTTGGCCAGACGTACCCGTTCGACTGATAGGCTGGCGACAGCCACCCAGAAACCAGGCAGAAAGGTGAAGTAACTTTTCACTCTTAGAAGGAACTAAAGCTTGTAGAATTGAAACTACATTTTGGGGCAAATAGAGTTTTAAAATTTAAAAACCTAACCAAATTATTTGTTATTTGCACTGTCATGTTCACTTTTTATGAGACTGAATCCCCAATTACATGCGCCTTTTTTTTTTGCACTCTTTGCAGGCCCTGAACCCGTCATCAAGAGACTTCCATTTGGGAAAATGAATTAGAACAAAGGGGAAAGCCCTTTTTTCTGGCGCTGCAGCCGCGCGCGTACAACAAGAGGTGAGTGACGTGGGTATGTCGTAAAATACATATAGAATATTTTCCTGTGGTCGATTTATTCGGAACCTCTTCTCTACCACAGCGCGTTAGAGCCTGCCCGTTTTGTGGGCGCATTTTCCACCAGGTGATAACATTGCGTGGCCACTTGGAAGCTAAGCACCAACGCGAGATTCTGCAGTTTGGTGCACACGGCGTAAATAGCAAAATTTATCACAGAGCTAAGAGCGGTCTGCGGCAGATTGCACCGCAGCAGATTGCGGGCCTCCTGAAATCCGTCCCTCGCGATCAGCGCAAACAGCATCTCTCTTTCCTTAGGGCCGTTCTATGCCTGTGCCTAGTTGAAATCGGAGACGATACGGTATAAAACAGGAGAAGTGAAACATCGAACGGTAATTAAAATGCAATAAAAACACGCTTCTTCACTTTGCAGTCTGACATTCAATTAACGTAGCTTTCTATTTTCGTTTTTGTTTTTGCAGGCAATGCTCTTCATGTGCCCACTGTGCCTGCATTCCACCAGACGGATTACGAGGCTGCGGGCACACGGCGTGGCGCGGCATGGCATCACCCGAAACAGTGCCAAAATGCAAGATTTCGTTCTAAAATACAAGTCTTATAACCGACGGGGCATCCGCATAACCACAGAGAGCAAAGTAAGGACACTTCTTGGCCGTTTCTATGACAGCAAATCGCATCTGACCGTGGCGAAACGAGTCCTTCTGTATCACAATGTGCTTGTGAAAGATGCCACTGACATGGACTGCCGACAGATATCGGGAATGCAAGTAGGAACCTCCGGAGACGAACTGGAACAATCGATTGCAGAAAGAAGCTTCAATTGTGGCAAGATGCCAGGAAAAAATGATGAGATGGAAAGAGAAGAATTATTGACTGATGGCGAGAATAGCTCAGATAACGGTATAGTAAAGAACCCTGCTGCTAACACGGTACCAATGGATCATCCACTGTTGGAAATAGGAGTTGCTTCCACTTGCAGCCAGAACCCTGTCCGAAAGGACACAACTTTGGAAAGCCACCGTCGGCAGCGGATTACCAACATAGCAAAAGCTGGTCTAGTCCCTCAGTTTAAAAGTTTGTGCCATACAGCTAAAAGCTACCTAAAAGTAGAAGAAAGTATGGGTTCCAGAACGACCACTTCAGCCCGGGCAAATGCTAATATGATACACAGATTCTTCGATTGGGCAAAGAAAAATGCACATAGCAATGACGAAGTTAAACTGCTTTGTGATTCCGAAATTCCAATGGATTTCATCTTGGTGATGAGCAGAACTTTTCAACCCTACACTGTAAAAAATCACTGCACGGCGATGGTGACTTTGATCGATCTTGTTTTGACGAGTAGGGAACTAAAGGATGCTGTCGGATATCGACCGCAGATGAAAGATGCACTCAGAAACTCGAAAGATGCCTGGGATCTCGTCAAATGCAAGTTGCAGAGGGCAGCTCGCGCAAAACAGAGAGCCAAAACTCGCAGCGGGCAGTTTCAAAATGCACCTTTTTTTGGCAATTGTCGATTTCCTATCTGAAAACGCTGCAAAGTGTGAAGCCGTTCTTTCCGATCCACAGCGTCTCGACGCGCATTCCAGGAGTGACATGGAACTAGTTAGGTGCGTGTCAGCTTGCTATTTGGCGCTGCACGGCCAGAGGCTCTGTGCCGTTCTGAATCTCACCCAAAATGAATTGAAAGATGCCGTCTGCACGAATGGAAGATACATAGTACGGATCCATAGGCACAAGTCTGTAAAGTCTCATGGCCCGGCGTCCGTCGCTCTGAAAATCCACCAGTACAATATGATTAAAGCAATGTCTGATTTTTATGGGAAGGCGAACAGAGCGTTCCCGATCAACTCCTCTGGCAGAGCGTGCAAAGAACTATTTGGGCCTTTGACTTCATTTTTCAGAAAGGAATACAAGTTGGAACCACCTAATATTACTTTTAATTTGGTACGTAAAACTATAGAAACAAATTCGTTTTATGAACAAAATGCAAATGGGAAGGCACAGGAGCAAATAAGTAGTTATTTGTGCCACGGAAAACAAGTGACAGACCTGCATTACTGTTTCAAAACGGATCAGGCTGTGATCGCGCAGGCCAAGAGCGTGGAAGAAGTAATTTCTTGCTTGGTAGCATTGGATCTGGTGAGAGAAAAGCGTGTCGACCTGCCAGCACCAACAGGTAAGTTATTTTCAATTTTTTTTTCATTTTGCTATTAACGTGTTTACATATAGTATTTAATTCATGCCCGGATTCCTTGCTATTTACATGTGATTCTAAATGAAAATTTACTTGTTTTCCCTTTCCAGACGCTTTTCATGGCCCAGTAGCCCTCATGTCAGGTTTGAGAGCCGCTCTTCGATCGAAAGATGTCACCTTCGAATTTGGATTGAACCCCATGCTATACTCGACAATCCAGCATTACTGGAAGGACAGCGTGAGAGATGCGCTCATAGAAGGAATTGCCGCTGCAGCGTCCCACGCGACAAGTGACGGGGCGGCGCAGCAGCTCACAGAGGTCGTGAACAGCCTGCTAAGTGCCCTTCCAGCAGTGTGGGCACAAGAGAAATCGAACCTGGCTCATCGCATATTGGAGAAGTTTGATAATTGAATAATTCTTAGAGTCTTAGTTTTTTTTTTGTGTGTAACTTTGTTCTGCAAAATTTATTTCATATAATGTTTCATTTTGAACTTTTGAATAGCAAATTGTAGAAATAAAGCACTGGTGAAGGGTTTTCAATAAAGAAAAAGCTCCAAACAAAATGCATCAAATCATCCCTTTCCCGTTTAGTGCCGTCTTATTTTTGAATACGGAGTGTCCGCACTTCTAATGACAGTCTTAACACTGCAAAGCCAATGGTTATCAAGTGGGCTGGGTAACGGAAAAAAGAGATACGTCAAATTCGCTAATTTTACGGGAAATGCAAAATAATATCTTGCAGGCTTTTGTTTCAAAATGTTTTGGCTGCAATTTACAAACTCATGCATACCAATAACAGATCATTTGAAAAAAAATGGTTCATCACCGGTATTCCTATAACTTCAGTGACTTTTCCCAAGTAATCGAGTAGTACAATGTGACAGCTCAGCTTATCACAATGACCCACTCAAAATGAGACAAGTCATCAAAATATGATGTAAATAGGTGAGATCTATTTGTATTGGTGCAAAAAAATTAGCTTACTATAAGAAAAACTCAGAGTACCAGTTTGAACATTGCAACCCATTCATTTCTAAGTATTGAATGTTAACGGAGATTCTATAATTTTAGCGTAAACATTTGTAACTTCAGAACGAATAGGAGTTGGAGGTTCAAACTGCTGATCTTAGTTCTCCTGTTAGAAGTCTAATTTAATATACAATTTCAAACCCTCTGAGCAAGTTTGTGGGTGCAGCTTGACATATCTCTTTTTTCCACCATGCATTTAACGTTAAACATCTACATTTGCAGTCTGCACTTGTTCAGTCCTGATGGACTCTCAGGTGAAAGATGGATGCAGAGACAAAAGTACAAAAAATTAACCTGATTTATTGACATTAGTCAGACATAAAAATAACAAAGTCACACTAAGTACAAATAGTAGAATTTCAAATTGGTATAGACCATACCGTACATCGGATCAGATAACAAAGTCACACTAAGTACAAATACAGTAGAATTTCAATTTGGTATAGACCATACTGTATATCGGATCAGATAACAAAGTCACACTAAGTACAAATAGTAGAATTTCAAATTGGTATAGACCATCCTGTACATCGGATCAGATAACAAAGTCACACTAAGTACAAATAGTAGAATTTCAAATTGGTATAGACCATACTGTACATCGGATCAGATAACAAAGTCACATTAAGTACAAATAGTAGAATTTCAAATTGGTATAGACCATACTGTACATCGGATCAGTCATCTGATTCAGATTCTTCTTCTGAGAGCTCCTCGCTTCCCGGCTCATCATCGGAGGAGACTTCTTCGTCACTGGCCTGCTGCTCATCACCGGAGCCATGGACTTCGGCGTCGTCACCGTCGTCTCCCACGTGCTGAGCGTCCTCCTCGTCCGAGCTATCCTCCTCCTCTTCGTAGATACCGCACCCCCTGACAAGATGAAGGAAAAACGGGTAAGTTTAAGAGAAGCATCTTTCGGATGGTCAAAAATTTTACTTTTTCTTCACATTGCATCAAATCTTTCATTCCTGAAATTTACAGCTGTCTACTATTTGAAGAAAAAAAGTAACATTTCCAACACAACCATTACAACTAACGTATGTAATTGAAACAGGAGATGCTATATGCTTACTCTAGCAGCTTGCTGTACGCCGACCGAAGCACGTCGACTTTCAGCTCTTCGTACACGTCAGCTTCGCCGATAATGACAAGTGCCTCAAGCAGGAGGCACTTAATGACGTCCAGCGTAAACTTGAACGTTTCCTTGGACATCCTGGGCTTCAGACGACGCGTGTGGGCCTTAAACACCCCCTTGCAGAGGACCCGCACTCCACGGCACGAATTGTTTTCGAGTCGCACCTGCACGCCGTCCATGCCGTACCGCTCCCGCTGAATGGCCTGTCCGTGGTTGTCTTGGATGTGCTTTACTGCCTTGCTCCTCTGTGTTTCAAGAAAAAGGCAGTATGGGCATCTGTAAGTTTGCGGGGCTCGAAACTGAAACACAATATGCAGAAAGAAATAATTAATTGTTAAATCTTTTCAGCATTCACGATCAATTTTCAAATGGGACATGTAAATAAATTAATGACAAAATGAAGAAAAGAACTATTTACATTGGATGATGCCTTGATCACCGACGACAATTTGAAGCGGGCTCCACGGCCAGACTTCTGCTTCTCGGGGCCCTTCTTGGTGGCGGCCTTGGAACCGAGCGGCGTCTGCAAAATGAATAAAAGAGCGAAAATGACATTCCTTTTTTTCCTAATTGAAAATTGCCTCCCCCAATTACAGAATACTTACAGAGGTCGGTGTTTTGCTGCCTTTCGAGCTGCCACTGGCTGCGGAGGGTCCCTGCGTGTCCTGCGGCAAGGCCTTGCTCGAAGTTGACGGGCGGCCCTTCCCACCCGACCCTTCCTTGGTAGGGGTTGAGACGCGTGGTGCCTTCGACCTGCTGCCGCTCGGCCCCGCCTTCCCCGGCGTCGACCCAGGACTCTGAAACAGGTAATCATCTCGTGTTACAAATTACTTACTTTTATGCATTTTGAAGAACTTTCCTAATTGAAGATCTATGTACCTTCTTCGACGAGCTCTTGGCGTGGGCCATAGAAGCCTCCTTGGCGACGACCAAGGCCTGCTCTAGAAGTCTCTTGGCCTCTGCCAATTTCTCATCGGCCGACTTGTCCTGGTCGCTCGCAGCTACCTTCGGAGACTTCTTCCTCTCGCTGCCGGACGCTGCTGGGGTGGAAGACTGGAACACGGAAGCACTCTTATTAGTAAAAAGAATGGACATTTTGACCACTTATCCTATTTGCAGGTGACGATTTTCCTTGCTCTGGCCGCCCTTCGGAATTGGAGGGGAAGTAGTCTCAGTGTCCTTGCTCCTCCTACTCTTCTTTGCCTCCGGCACCTGCCCAACGTTAAAACAAATTATTACGGTTAGTAAATCTGGT